ATATTCATTCGCACTTTGCTTAAAAAAAAAAAAAAAAACCAAGAAAAAAAATAAGATGGTAAATATACAAAGTAGAAAAGGAAAGTAGTTTTGAAGGAACCTCGATAATGTTAATGCCACAAGACACGCCGTGTCGTTTTTAAAGTATACCAATTTGTAAACAAGCTTTTTTCGCGATACACTCTTTCGAGAGGATCCTTTTTTATTACTTTTTTTTTTTTTTTTTTACGTAAAAAGTAAAACCTCGAGAAGGAAGATGAAGAACTTGCTACGACGACGACGACGACCAAGAGGACCATTAAAAATAATTCGTTTATGTATATACGCGTGAAAGAGACAGAAATATAACGAAAAAGAAATGAGAAATCCAAAAAAAAAAAAGAAACAGAAGTAAAATTCGAAAGGATAGAAGAAAAATGATTAAGAGAATAATCGATAATATAGAAAAAAAATAATCAAAATCCACGTGTTTTAATCTGATAATATAACGTTACAGTAATCTACCTGCTTAATACGAAAATTACATTTTTTACGTTTTATCATTTTCCTTCTATTCGCGATAAGTTTTTTTTTTTTCTTTTTTATTTCTACGAAATAATTTGATATCTACGATCATAATATTATCTGATTAATAAGAGAACAAAATAGAAATATACTATTTTCGTTTAAGCAACAAAATTTTCGAGAAAACTAATAATCATAATAATAATATCATATAAAATATATGAAATATTTCACAAATTAGATATATTTCTGATACGTTTACAAATGAAGAACCCGAGATAAGATATCGTAGATAGGTTAGACTCAAAAAATTACTCTACATTATTTTTTTACCGTACACATTTTTAATTTTAAAATTCAGCATTTTACTTCAGGGAAAAAGAGAGAGAGAGAAAGAAATAAAAAAAAGAAGCAAGCTTTCGACATACGCACCGAACGTTACGAACGAGGTAATCCCTTTTCATCGTGAACCGATCGATCCCGTACGACCGATACTTGTGTGAGAGAGTGTGAGAGAGTGCGAGAGAATGAGAGAGAGAAAGAGAAAGAGAGAGACGAAGAGAGAGAGAGAGAGACAGATAGCTAGCTTCCCAGCTAGATAGATAAAGATAAAACGATCTTATCTCTCTCAAAAAAACATATTGTAAAATGGCTCGAAATGAAAAAAAAAAAAAAAAACACAAATCCTTGAAAAAATATCTATATATATGGATTTGAGTACTTACATATATTTTTATGGAAGTTTTTCCATGAAGTGAAATATCTGGCAAAGAGATAGAACACCTTCCGAACATCCTCGCGTTCTCTTCACAAAGATGACGACGACGACGACGTAGCCAACGATGCCGAAGACGTGACGAAGATGACGACGGAACCTTGAATTATTCTCGCGATGGATTTTATCAAATATTTCAAAAAAAAAAAAAAAAAGAAAAACAAAAAAATAAGAAAAAAAAAGAGATTAAACGCCGAATATTACGTTAAAAAAATTAATACGGAGTGTGAGATAAAAAGAATAGATAAAATGATATAGATTATTATTAGTCGACGATCCCGATGTGTCTGTGTGTATGTGTGTGTCTGTCTCTGTGTGGAAAATTTGTTGAAAAAACGACCTTTTTAGTACTCCGGCTCGACTCGACTGAATTGAACTGAACGACATGTCCGATACGCTTCTCTTGAACGAACTGAACTCTCCCCCCCTCGCACCGGTCTTATATAGCTCCCCCACCCCTCGAATCTTCCCCTCGAATATTCCCACCACCGGTGTTACCCCTAACATGCTAGACGCTAACTTCTTCGTGGGGATGAATCCTAGTGGGTCCACCTCGGTTTTCTGTCTCTCTCTTGCAAGCCCCCCACCCCTTCCCTCACCCTACAATACATACACATATATATACACGTTCCTTCCTTCCTTCCTTCCTTCCTTTTTTTTTTTTTAACTCTTATTCGCCCTTTTCGCTTTTCCCAAATGACAATGTGAAAACTTCGTGCTCGAGGAGAACCCCGTTGCGGACTTGCAAGCACCTTCTAAGCTTTTCCCTGGCCGCGTTTACCTCCTTTCTTCGTCTATCAACTTTCTCTCTTTTTTTTTGGTTCTCTCTCTCTCTCTCTCTCTCTCGTAGATGGGGAAGGTTTCAACAATTTGTTGTTATTCATTCCAGAGAAACTTTTAACGTATATGGTAAGATAATTTAGTTATTTTTTAGTCATTCACGCATAGGAAAGATCGAATAAAATTATCTTTGTCGAGTTTAAATCTCAAACGAAAAAGAATAATAATAATAATAAGAAGAAGAAAAAGAAGATGACATTTATCATTTCATTTTAGGATGAAAAAATTATGTTAGGGTTACTTGTATATATTCAAACTTCCCGCCGTTTTTTGTTCCTATCTTTTTCGTGTCTTCTTTTCTTTTTAACGGGATATTCATATATATAAATATATATATATATATGTATAGGTAAATGATAACACATATCGTACACTTGACACGCATAAATATCATTATCTTCAACAGGCCGCGTAATTCGATTTACAGCCGGATCGAGTTTCCTCTCGTTCTCCATTTGACCCATCTCCTCCTCTCCCCTCCCACCATTTTCTCCCCCTCTCTCTCTCACTCTTTTTATTCTTTTTATATCTAGCAAAGTTGGCTTTAGTCGGTACAGCAAAGATCAATCTTACCGACTTTCCTAACTGAAACTTATGAGAAAGTAAAGATGTACTATCTGTCATATACATATACACACGTTGACGCGTTATTTAGATTTATGATGTATTATCAACATCGATATTATCTAGTCTAAACAAATTACAAATATTCAAAAATTCTTTCTCCCCAATTTTCAAGTAAACAACAAGTCAAAATCTTGTTCCTATTCTTAATGATAAAGTATCACAGAGAACTTGGACATAAAAAAGAATTAGAACTTAATTTAACTAAGTTGTACGTTTCGTTCCTTTATTGTAACTTTTTCAGCAACTTAATTTTTACAAGTTCAGCGTCTTTTTTCATTGGATAGACATACCAATGTTCCTATTTTTTGTTCTTAAATAAATATCATCAAACTCATTGAAACATTGCAAATCAATGAAATTGATGACATTATCTAGCTAGAGTAATGGGGTGAAGAGAGGAGAGGGGGAGGGTTGTCTAAAACATAGAAAAAAGAAGAAAAAGAAGAAGTGTCCTGGCCAGTGTCCGAGTCACCTGAAGTGACCCACCTGACCCTTGACGGATCACGCGTAGGATCGTACGAGAGGGTGAAAATCCCTTACCATCTCTTACCCTCTACCCCCTTGCACAAAAAGAGAGAGAGAGAGAGAGAGAGAGAGAAGATTCGGCTAGCTAGAAATTCCTTGCTGCGGCGGCGCTACTTGGTCAGAGTAAAACCATAGAGAGTGAGAGAGAGAGAGAGAGAGAGAGAGAGGGAGAATGGGGATTTTACCCCTTCGGTGGCTTTTCGATAGCCCCCACCATGTCTAAGTCGGTCCAGTTGGTGGGGATACTAGAGGGATGTTAGAGGGATGCTGTCGCCATGACAACGGTCTTTTATGGTGGGGGATGAATCATAGAGAGCCGACGGTGGCATTGATCGCTGCGCCCATGGACCATCGCAGCGTTGCTACGGTCGTAGAAGGGGTGAAGACGAACCCCTTCCCTTCCACCCCTCTCACACACAGTTTAACACACTTACATAGATATCTATCTATACACCCATACTGTTACTAGTGTCAGTTTGTTCGGTAGTAGCTCGGTAACTCTAACCTAGACATCATCCTACTTTTCTTTCTTCTTCTACTACTTGTACCACATACACACACACACATACAATACGACGCATTATGGACTCTTCGCATACGTCCAAGTATGGACTTTTGGTTGAAGCTTATGCGCGCCCCTTCGTCCAAGGCGTGAATGATTCGCGAAAACCTTTCTTACTTTGCGTTATATCGGCCGGTATGCAGACACTGCACACCCCGGCATGGTATTGTAGAATTCTTTTACATTTATCCATCGTATTTTTCATTTTCATATATATGTGTCGTTTATATTTTGAAAGTGGCATAAGTCACTTTTTCCAAAAAAAACAAACTGAGTTAATGGTAACACTAATTACAACTGAACGGTATCTTTTCATTTTCAATTAAAAAAAAGTGACTTATGCCACTTTCAAAATAAATGACTCATATATATATATTTGTTTTTCTATTAATCGATCCCCTTTTTGATCATTGGAATTTGAATAATCTTTAAATTTTGTTAAATCAGTAATCGTTAAAGTAAAAGCCTATGAAAAGTAAATGTTAATCGTTTCTTTGAATGTTGACACACATGACGAATAAAAAAAGAAAAAAAGGCAGCTTGTCGTAATGTTATCGTTTCGGTGGTTTAATCCGAGAATTCGAGGATAACAGAGGGAAAGGAAAGGAAGGAATAAAAAAAAAGAAAAATGTAGAAGAAAGAATACAAGAGGTGTGCGGAACAAATTCCCCGAGTTAAAGTCGTAGTCATTTAACTAACGGGGGTGCGGAAGTTTTATCGGGATCTCGGACGACATTATGCTCGGATAAGAGGGCTTTTTAACACTGTCGTAAGCCCATTACGCGTGGCGCCACCCTTGTTCACCCCGGGAGCATGGACAACGACGTGTACATCGCATAGGCACCAGGGTGCTTGCTTCACTGAGATAAAGATGTGTAAGGGTGAGAGATAGATCGTTCTTTCTATCCCTATCATATTTTTCCTATGATATTTTTTACCTATGTTTATACTTTTTAAACATTCTTTCATAAACATGTTACGATCCCATCAAATAAAAAACCTTTTACAGTTATATTACCTTTTTTTTTTCAATAATAAAAAAAAAACATGCCCAACTATCTCACACAATGTTAGATGATGATCAAGGAAACAATATGAATACAGAAAATAATTCACGAATGTAACTTTGAATAATCTCAATCTCTCATGATTTTATTTGCAATAAAAAGTTATTATTAATTAAAAAACAAAAATTGTTGTTTATTACGTAGTATTATTTGATGAAAATTTTGTTATGTACTCCAACAATCTTTTATC